ATCCAGAGGCTGGGCTGGTCTGCATGCAAGACAGGCAGTCTGTGAAGATGTAAACTGAGGAGTCAATGGGTGAGAGACAGGCTGGGTGTGGGGGAAGAGAAGGAGGATGAATAGTGGAGAGGTACCTAGGAAGTCAGATCCCAGGTAGGTCATAAATCCAATGTCTATATTTAGTCCATGATTTTTAGTATCCAGGAGGCTGATTCATAGATGCTAGGGTCAGAAGGGACCTCAACAGATCATCGAGTCCAACCCCCTGCCCAGGCAGGAAAAAGTGCTGGGGTCAGATGACCCCAGCCAGATGCCTATGCAGCCTTCTCTGAAAGAGCTCCAAGGTAGGGGAGAGCACCACCTTCCTTGGAAGCCCATTCCAAAATTTGGCCACCCTTACCTTCAACTCCTGTCTCCCTGGCATGCAGGATGCAAGGGGGGGAGGTGTTTGGTGATAATGAGAACCACCAGCATGGTTCATTAGTTCATGAGATGAGGTGAAGAGCCCTGTGCCTATGCTGCTTGAGTAACTGGGCCCCAGCTCCTGCACTGTACAGGCAACCTTGACAGATGAAGTGAAGTTCATAGGCTTGTCTCTGGGAAGTGTTTTGTAAGTTCCCTTTGAGGATCAGGACTGAGAGACTGGAGAGAGAGTGGTTTTCTTGTGAGAAATGTGCCCCCACCGGTAATTGGGTATTCCTGTCTTTGATAGATTTCCGGTGTGCGTTCATTCTGGGGCGCAGTTGTTGTTTGGTCTCTCCTACATATTTTCCATCAGGGAAAATACATAGGAGAGATCAGAACTTTGTCTACCTATGTCCTTAGACCAACACAGCTACATCCTACACCCCTAAGGAAGTTTGTGTTATGAAAGTCAAGGGCAGGAACTGGCAGGAGCCATCTGCAGTGATTTCGAGAGGTTACTGTTGCCTGTGCTCTTCAGAATGGTTAAATCCTATTGCTGAGTGAATGAATCCCTCAAATACCAGTGAGAACAGAAACCATGATTTTGGGCACCAAAACACGAGTCTCTACCTTAGCTGTTAACTAGTCATTAGAGGAAGGCAATGCACCCCAGCCATCCTATAGCAGGAATACACATGCTTAAGGTCACTGACTGGAACTAGGTGCTACTTTCTGAGATCAAGATGGTCTACTAAGGATCTGCTTTCTTTGCCTGAAATTACATTTAAGTAACTGGTTCAAAATGACCGAAGTCAATGAACAGGCTCCCCGTAAATTTCAATGGGACTTGGAATCCCTCACATTTCTACCTTGGAACGTCCCTTTGAATGCTAAGGAAAGCCACTTGGCTGCCTGCAGGCAGAAGCAGCAGCAAATGATTTTAATTATCCTTTGGAAGGCTGAGCAAACTACAGACCAGAGCTGCTGCAGAAACTTTTCACAAGATGCTCAGAACCTAAAAGCAAGCCTTGAATGAGACAAGGGCTTGGACAAGAGTCCTGTCTCATTTATCAGGTCCACTCCTACGCCATCAAGTTTTTTTCACAGGATCCATCGTGCAGTATGGCCTTCCTTAACTGTGTCCTTCAACAGCACTGGGAAAGAACTCAGTGCCAAAAATACCATATTGCATATGGACACTGTAGGACTTTCAACCAGTCCTACTAGTGATGTCAAATCAAAAATAATTTCCACCGGAACACTCAAAGGTACTTCTCCTCAGCAAGGGCTATTACCATGGCAAATTTCAACTTTCTATGGCCAGCTGTTTCAGAGCCATTCAGAAACGAGAATTGGGTTTTATCTCATTTCAATAGAAAGGAGGAGAGTGTTTTTTCCCTCTATTCTGCCATTCTCCCTATTTTTAATACAGGACGCAGCTGCTTTTGTTTAAACCTCCATAAATGGAATCATTTTCAAGCAGAGACGAGAAATTCCCACCCAACAGGTATAGTTTCCAGGAGTTCAAAAGAAACAGAGAACAAGAGATCAAAATGGCAATATTTATGCAAACTTAAGTGTAGTTGTCAGCATAGTGCAGCAAGATCCCAGACTACAAAATTTTGATGTTTAGTTGGCATAAAGTAAGTCAATTCTTTATAACTCCCACTACAGTTTCACTTAAAGCTGGAGAGCAGGATCCAAACACTGTATTATAAAATGACAAATTTGCTGAAAATATAGTCTATTAAAAATCCAAAGTACCACCTTGAAGTCAGTTAGCTTGTGTGTAAGCTCCCCCTTGAGGAACTGAAAATGATTGCACAAAACATGGCAAACGTTATGCAAAATCCTTGCTAAATGGCAGAAAAGACAGTTTCCTTTTTATTTACTAGATATATGCAAAACTCAGGTGTTTTCTTTTCCACCTTGTTTGGAAACTTGCATTCAAATCTTGCCAAAGGTGCGGAGGGTACTATTTTCAAATGAAAAGAAAAATGAACTTCACATTTTTTTTAGGTCAAAATAGTTCTCATTGAAAATGTCAAAAATTACAAACAGCTATTTCACTGCATTCATTGATTCTGCTTGGGCCAGGGAGAGAACTGTTTAACACAGGATAACTCATTTTCACATCAGGCAAATAAATACAACCATCTGAATTCTGACATGCTGTTGCACAAAATAGAAGAGGAGAGACCATGAAAACTGGATGTCCAGAAGAAAATATATTTGTGGCAGATAATGCTGACATGAACATCGTGAGCATGGGAAAAGAGGATCACGGAATCCAACAGGAGGGACGCAAAAGCTGGGAGCACATAGGAATTTTTGGTTTGGAGGCTTCAGGTATGGGGGTGATCATAGAGGATTAATGGTGAGTGATGCCTAAAGTGAAACACAGAACACAGAAGAAACTAGGGAAGGTGAGATGAAATATGAGCTTGCATGGCACAAAAGCACAACCCAAATCCTAAACAATCTTCTTGCAGGTTTGGCATATTCATAAAACTTCTTTAGTGTTTTTGGTTTAGAGAGAAATGCATTGCCTTAAAATTTCCTTTAACATTTTTACATTACATCAGGAATGGTGGATATTGCCAGCATTATTACAACTACTCCAAAATTAAAAAGGTAATAGGAAATTAAAAAAGAATAGGGAACTAAGGGGATGTCTTCCATTGCTAACCGCATTTCAGTAAACACATAACTGAAGAAAGTTATCAGTATTATAAATCCTCAGTATATCTTGAAATAAAGGAATAATAAGATTACAGTAAAACTAAATCCTCATATCACGACAGCACATGGTATCAAATAATGAGCTAAACTAAAACGAATCCACCCTTAATTGTTTACAAGTGTCACAAAAAAAAATTCACCCCCTTTGGTGAATTAATAAACAACCTGTTCAAAATGAGGCACTGCAAGTTTCTCTAATAACTTCCACATTGGACCATTAATGCATTCTCAGACTAAGTCTTCCTTATCCTCTGACTGAGCTAATAAAATTAACTTAGTGTCAGCACAGCAAGAAAATAAATATTCATTCCCATCCAACAGCAAAAGTAAATTGGAAGAAAATCTCCTGACATATCTTCATTTTTATGTAATTATATCCTGGTTCTAGAAAAAATGGAACTGGAAATGTCCAAGTACCAAAAGAGAAGCTGGTTTAGTGGTGAATCAGAAAGAAGCGTTACAGTTAAAAGATTTAGGCAAGGAAATGAAAGCCAGATTCAGCACAGAAACTACAATGGCAATTGTGTGCATGAAAACATGAGCATCTGGGTCAAGGCATCTAGGGAGAGATGCAGTCCACCTGACAAAAAACGGGGAGAAGTGTCTTCACATACAAGCCTGCTAACCTAGTGAGGAGGGCTTTAAACTAGGTTCACCAGGGGATGGAGACAAAAAGCCAGAGGTAAGTAAAGAGTGAGGGGACCCGGATAAAAGCTTAACAAGGGGACACAAAAGTGAAAGCTTCAGCAATGAACTTAGGGAGGAAGTAGGACAATCAGTTAGACATTTGAAATTTTTGTATACTAATGCTGGAAGCACCAGGAATAAACAGGAAGCATTGGAAGTTCTACTACAATCAAGAAATGATGATGCAATTGTGAATGCAATTGCGATAATAGAGACATAGTGGGATAGTTCACATCACTGAAGTACAGTCGTGGATGGGTATTAACAAGTGCAGGAAGGACAGACAAGGGGGACAAAGGAGGAGGTGCTGCCCCATATATAAAAGAAATGTATGTGTATTCTGAGCTGTAGTAGGAAGTGGTAGTAGGCCAGCTGAAAGCCTCTGGGCAGAGCTGACCCGAGCAGGGTGCGGGGCCTGGAGCAAATCAGCCCATGCGGGGCCCTGCCCCTGCTCCAATCCCCCTGGACCTGAAAAAGTTGCCATTGCCATTGGCGACAGTGGCATCAGCGGCAGGAGGGGTGGTGGCAAGTGGCTGGACGCGGAGCCACCACTCCTCCCAGCTCCACGCCGCCACTGCTCTGCCCCACTGTGCGGGGCCCCCCAAAGTGCAGGGCCTGGGGCCGTCACAGGACCTGGTTCTCATAGGAGATTTTAATCATTGGGACATAAGCTGGCAGTAAAACACAAGCACTCCAGCAAATTCTTGGAGTATATCGAGAATCACTTTTCAGTACAGATGGTAGAGAATCCAGCTGAAGGGAAGCTCTTCTCAACTTGCTACTCACAAACAGGGAGGAACTGGATGAGAATCTGAAGGTGGACGGCAACTTAGGCGACAGTGACCATGACATGAGAGCGTTCAAGACCTGAAGGGGAAGAAGGAGGAAGAACTCAAGAATGAAGACACTGGACTTCAGAAAAGCAGACTTTAGCAAACTCAGGGAACTGACGGACCTGGGAAGTGAGTCTGAGGAGAAAAGAAGCCCAGGAGGGCTGGCTGTGCTTTAAGGAGGCCCATTTAAGGACACAGGAGTAAGCTGTCCTGATGCAACAGATCAAGCAGGTCTCCTGTTGCAATATCTTCAATAAGCAGAAAGTCAAAATGAAATCCTGCAAAAAGTGGAAACTTGGTCATATTACCAGGGAAGAGTATTGCACATGCATGCAGGGAGAAAATTCAGATAGCCAAAGCATGATCTGAGATGCAACCGGCAAGAGACAAGAATGGCTATAAAAAGGGATCCTTTGGGCTATAAAAATGGCAAAAAAAAAAGTACGGCAAAAGCAAGAGGAAGACCAAAGAAACCATAGGTTCCTTACAGAATGCAGAAGACAATCTAGCTACAGAAGATGAAGAGAAAGGGAAATATTTAATGCCTTTTTCACTTCAGTCTTTACAAACAGGCAGCTACCACATAATGAGCACAGTTGGCAGCAGAGAGAGGGGAGACAACAAACAGCCTAGAGGAACAGGTTAGTGATTACTTAGATTAATTAGATTCTTTGAAGCCACGTGGGGTACACGTTAGGGTAGCAAAGAAATTGGCCAAAGTCATTTCAGAGCTATTGGCTAGCCTTATGGAGGTAGTGTGAAGCCCCAGACGACTAGAAAAGGACAAATACAGTTGCCCATCTTTAAGAAAGGGAAGGAGGAGGATCTAGGAAATTACAGACAAGACAGTCTGACCTCTATACCTGGAAAGATCATGGAGCAGGTCCTTAAGAAATCTGTTGCGAAGC